AAGTGAAAGTGAATATATAGATGCCTCCGTTTCGTAGACTAATTGAAAACGAGGCAACAATCTAGAGACGGTGCTCCGGGTCGTGTGATGTACATTCTAGCCTCATAGGTTAAAAAAAATTAAAATGATTAAGTGAATAATAAAAAATAAATGTATGTATAATAATCATGCCACACCCGTATGTCTGACGGGATTAGGCAACCGAATTTTCAGTGCGGGATAGCCCGCACTAGCAGTCAGCACATGGCGCTCAAACATGAGCCGCGGAGAAAGATGTGGCAATGCTTTCAAAGATTTTGGAAAAGGTAAGGTGATTTTTTATCTGATACCTTAACAAAATTGTATTACATACAAAATTTAAGCTTTTGAATGTAAAATAAAAAGTGAATTAATAATTTTTCAGTAGTTGGAGCTTATTTTGCTGTAAGTTAGTTACTTTCAACTCTGAAAAGGGGTGAAATGGTCCACGTATTCTGTCTTCTAATCAGTTCTTGTCTTCGGGTGACTAATTGTCGTATAATCTTGTATTAATGAGAATTGTGGTAAATTTATGTTTCCTTAACAGTTTGTTGTAATATTTTTCTAAAAATGCTTACAAGACCACGTGACAATCGATGCCGTGCGCACCAAGCACTCGATCATGTTTAGCGACATAAGTGCGTTCTTAATTTATTTTTGTGATAATGATTAAATCGATGAAATATTATAATGATTGGAAAATAAATAAAGTCATGTGTACAATTTTGTACAATTAATTTTTTTGCAGTTTCAGTTGCCATTTTTCGTTACATTTGTGATCGTGATGAATTTGAAGATTGACTATTTTCATTGTCATCAAGTAGTAAGGCACAGAAAAGGATTGCTTCTTCTAATAAGCCCAGTATGCAGTCCAGAATAGAATCATTTTTCACTTCAGCTACTAGAATACCTCCAACAGAGCAGCCTTCTCAATACTGTGAACCAGTAGATGGGCCACTTCTAGACTTTCCTGATGACCTTGTGACAATTACCAACATGGAGTCTAGTTGCACATTCAAAATGCACATTAGAAGTTGAAATCATTTTTCTGTAATGCCAACATTAATGCTATAGATGAATTACAGTGCCTTATTATCCTCCAACTCAGTGGGGTTATTCATATCATGTT